CGGTGCGGTGCGCTGTCTTGCGCTCTTTTGGTGTTGCTCTCGAGCCTCGTCTGCGTTCTCACACCGCGCGTCTGTGGTCCGCGTGCTGCAGTGTGCACCGGTAGCTGCTGCAGCTCCGGCACGATGCTTGCACTCACTAACTCGATTATTCACGATTGGGACTCGGATGTCTGATGTCCGCACGCGCAAAGGTGGATGGATGCACTCTCACTGAGCTTGCTTTCCATCAACCATCCATCGGTGCAAGGAGCCTTGCACACTCTCATCATTCACACTCAGACTCTCACTCCTACACATCTTCGTATACTTGGCGACGAGATCACGGCTCTGGACATCAACTTGTGTTCGTAGTCATTACCGCGCGCTCGTCTCTACCTCCCGTTGCTGCTTTTACCTCGACCTCCATGCAACTGCTATAGTTGCCTATACTTCAACGCGCCATCTATTGCAAGCCAGAGCGACGAAACGATTTGATTCATCACAAACACCTACCTTGTCGCGCGCAGCGCTCCAACTGCTATATAGCTGCTCCATACACAGCAGCAGCAGCAGCTCCAGCGCCCCGGCCTACATCGCTCGACCACGCTTATATTCACACGCTGTGTTGCTTCAGTCGCCGCCGCGGTCGTCAGCAAGGAGACTCATCAATTGCTGCGGTGCGCGTCTTTTCCGTCAGTTGGGTCACAACACGCATCTTCAGCCCGCGGAGGTCTGTGCGGGCGCAGGCTCATACCCGAGAGCGCAGTCTCAGTGTCCTCGCAACAGTCGTGAGTCTGCGCGTACTTATTACGACTCGATATCAGCTCACGATTCACTGTGATCGGTGACTGATTTGCTTCACGTGCTCACCTTAAGTGGCAGGCAGCAGCGTCAGCGGCAGTCGCAACGGTATACCAGCAGCAGCACGCCTGACGCGATTCGTGTTGGAATCGAGCAGACGCGCGCATTTTCAATTCATCCACCTTGCAACCACCCAACCAACCCTTGCATCTTCCTTGCACCCTCGACCAGCAACGCGACCAGTCGAGAGGTCGAGAGTCAAAGCTTGCATAGCTTCCTATTGATATCCATCAGCGTCTCCCAATCCCCAGAGCCTTCGTCAAAGTGCGTGGTCGAATCGCTCACCATCGCATCTTTGTATTCATCTCATCTCTCACTAACGCGCTCTTCACCCCTTTTCACGCTCGCAGATGACTGTGAGCGACGTGACGGATAAGACAGAGAAGATGGATCTGAAGGACACGGTAGACAGCAACTCGGTCCCCAAGGCGGTGATCAAGAATGCAGACATGGACGAGGAACTTCAGCAGGCGGTGATGGATATTGCGCACGAAGCCATGGCCAAGTTCTCCGTCGAGAAGGACATCGCCGCGCATGTCAAGAGAACTATGGATGAGAAGCATGGACCTACGTGGCACGCTGTGGTTGGCAAGAACTACGGTAGCTACGTCACTCACGGTGAGTGTCGCAGATGCGAGCATTAGTGAGCGAAAATGCTAGAGGATGTATGCGAGGTTAGGGACTACACGTCTGGGCGCGTGGCGAGACTTTCAGGGAAAGCAGCATCAGCGCTGGCTTGTGTGGCACGACATCATCTTCAGGCGGACTTTGGGCAGCAGTCAGGACCCCGGCACACTGGCAGCTCGTGTTTATGGCGTGAGGCTGAATGTCAAGCACGCACTCGTCCCTTCCCTAACACTTTTCACAGAGACTAAGCACTTCATTTACTTTTGTGAGCATGCGCAAAGATCGAATTCCATCCTTCAAGAAGCGTCGACTTACTTATCCCTCTCTTCCCGCTCGTCATAGATCTGGGTCAGATCGCCTTCCTACTCTGGCGCGCCTAGGCATCGGCACACAGGCCGATCATCGACCCAATGGGCAGCAAGGAGAGGTCAGCACCTTCTCAAAATATTGCTCCTCCGAGCCTCTACGGCGACCTTCTCGAGCTCCACTAGTTCCCTGCCGATGCATATTGTCACCACACGACGTTCACAGGCCCCATCGACCATCACGAGTCTCCGCGCTTCCGCTCTCTGCACCCAATCCCATTTCGCTTCGCTCCAACCCGCGTGGTCTGTCATTTTCTGAGCGGAATCAAGTGCAAGATCTGGATCATGTGCGATCGCGACCAAATGTGAGCGACCAGAATCATGTCGAGGCCTTCCCTTCGACCCTTTTGCTATGGCAATTGTCACTATGCTGTTCATCTTGCTTCAACACTCGCAATGGCCGCATCAGACGCTTGAAACGCAAAATCAGTAAGTGGCGATGCAGATGGTCCGTGTTCGAGTGCTTGAGTACAATACAGTATGATGTGGAAAGCCACTCGTGCGCGCGAGAGGACGTGGAAGGGAGTGCAAGCCGTCGCAATTGCGTGCGTACGTACGCTCGCTCATCGAGCCCCTCGTCAAGCTTGGCTACAGGTGGCAAGGACCTGTGCGAAAAGCCATTCGAGTCCGGCCTTGGCTCGATTAGCATGCAGAGAAGGTACGTTGGAAGCCTCGTCGCTCAAGCTATCGTTGAAGACCTCGACGCTCCACGGTCCTCGGTAGCCTGCTTGTACGACCACTGCGTGCATAAACTCGACCGTCGGCATGAAAGCACCCTTGGCAATCTCTCCTGGAAACAGTCGATGCGATCGACTCCAGATCATGCGGCTGGGACGAGGCTCTTTGCCATTGGGCGAAGGTTCCAGAGGTGCTGGCACACGACGAGCGTCACCGATCTGGACCAGGAAGATTTTTTCTGCCGGTACGGTGGGAATGCGCGCCAAAGATTCGCGCCACGTTGGATCAGCAGACACACCATTGGCACAGCAGGGATCGGCAAACTCTCGACCCAGGGTGTTGAAGCTGTCCAGGACAAGGCCGACGTTGTCTCTGTTTGCCAGCTCGACACACTGCCACGCCCCTTGCCACGTATCGTGGTGAGCGCCCCAGCTCAAGCCTTCGTAAGCGATTCTCAACGGTCTGCTGTCCTGACCAATCGTCTCGCTAAAAGTCTTGGCTTCATCCGCCATTCGTGCGAGGTCTTGCGCGATGCGATGCGCATCACCAGTCGTGCGAGGTGACGGTTGATTGTTGGAGCAGCAAAGCAAGAGATCCGTGCCGAGAGCGCGCATGATCGGGAAACGGCTTCGAACTCTGGCATCAGCGGCAGCTTGATCTTCGGCAGATGACCAGCCCTCAACGTCGCGCAGTGGTTGCAAATTGAGCACTTGCAATCCGAGAGAGGCGCAAAGATCACCGATGTATGCTGCAGCTGCCACCTCTTGTGCGAGCTCGGCGGAAGTGCATGGTCCATGAGCGTTGAAGATGGCCGTTTCGGACGTGGAGGATCGGCCCTTGGCCTCACCTCTGAGACCCGCTTTTGTCAAGGGAGCAGATGAGGAGCTCTGCGAGCTAGAATCGCTCGCGCGTCTCGAGGTAGGACTGTCTGGCGGTGTGAGCGCGTCTCTGGTGTTGTAGATTTGGAATTCGGGCGACTTTGCAAAGGCGTCCAAATCGTCTTGAAATATTTCGACGGCGTCGAGACCAGATGCAGCGATTGCTCGGAGTTTGGTCGTCAGCGAATGACCGGCAACGTGAGCGCCGGCGGAATGCGTAAACATGCCAAATGCTGGGCGTGGAAGTGTTGCGTCCATGATGGCGAGTGATGAGATTTATAGGTAGTTGGTGTGGCCGATTGAACGAGTGTGTGATCCTTCACCGCACGGTTACCGTGAAATTGACGGTGGAGTCTACAGATGCGGGCGGATGTCACGTCGGTGGCCCAGCCAGTCAAGAGCGCGAGGCCTGTGACTATGAGAGACTCTTCAACGTTCAGTGCGTTTGGTCTATGTTTATACGAGTTGGAGCACTTGCGTCTCGATGCGTCTTGGCCAACGGTTCGCTGCGTTGACCGTGACTTGATTAGGCTGTTCTTAGTAATGGCGATGCATGCGTTGCGTGCAGGCACTAGGACCACTTATCATGCGCTATGCGATCGGGCGGCCAGCTATTTTCGGTGTTGCTGTCAGGTGCGCGCGATGGCGTGCAGACTCAGCTCGGGCAAGGTTACGGATGACCGGTCAGGGGCTCTGCGCGTGCCGTCGTCGTGGTCGATGGGATTTGGAACCTAAAGGTCTGGGTAGCAAGCAGCAACCACGAGATGCTGAATGTCCGCAAAGCCGACAACTCTTACCGACGTTGGCAGAGCTGCGGTGCTGGTGAGGCTGATTCGCAGCTGAGACTAGACGCGTTGCTCCAACCGGATAGGCGCGTTTGCGGGTGCGCAGGTACGCTTAGCGTCAGCTCCAATATTCGTGATTTGCTACCCAGCGATGACCTTGCCGAAATTGCTGAAGGAAGGCTGTGGTCAGTTTCTTGCAGCTTGCAGTGCTCGGCGATAATAACTACGACACGAAGCCTGATCCGAGATCGTGCCAGGTGCGCGAGTTCGAACTGCAGGGCAAGGAGGGATTTGCTGGGGTCGCTTTCGTTGCGTTTGTTCGGCGTTGTGGATGTACAGTGTAGCAAGACGATGTAAAGTCCTGGGGTTGCTGGGACTGACCAGTCGCAAGGCGGTGCGTACATATATATACACGCACGCATAGGCGCTCCCCTGCCAGTCTCCTCGGAGTTGCTCAAGAGAAGCGCATGACCGACTACACTCGGCCTGCGCAAGGCCGCGCTCGCCCTCTTGACAACGGAGCCCGTTGACCGATATTGCAACTCGGCGCACATCCTCGCAAGTCCTTCGGGCAATTGGCGAGCTGACTGAGCTTTTCGGCTGCCCATTCGGCAATCCAGAGCGAAGTGTGGGTGGGGCTTTGACCATGAGCCGAGTGGAACGGCGCTGCCTTGTGCATGGTGGAGCGTCGGGGGCCCCACCTCGGCAAAAGGTAATTCCGGTTCTGGCCAAACGAGTCCCCGCCGCGAATTCACGTGTTTTGGTGACCATCGTCCCACGTGACTAACGTGGCCATTCAAGTCCGCGAGCAATCAAAAATTCATGATTCTTCACGACTGTTGGACGGGAGTCACACAGTGACACAAGTCACATTGAGCCCCAAATCAGTAATTGATTGAAACGCTTTTGACGTAGGATTGAGACGTAGAGATGCCCAACGAGTCATGAATGTGTTCAACCTCAAAGCACAAGAATGCTAGGGCAAGCAGCGATCCAGGTCAAGCACAAAAAGTGTATGCGCGGCTCGACCTTCTTAACTTCTCCCCCGCACACAGTGACCCGAAGTCGTGTCCAAAGGAGCGGCTTATTGTGGTCCAGATAATCACAAGAGGTGGGAGACGGACGGAAACACCTCAGCGCAGCCTCCAGTCACAATACAACGCAACCAATCCATTGAGGAAATGCTTAGATGAGTGCTAGATGCGTTTTACAGTCTGACCTAGATGATGATAGAAACAATGATGTGTCCTTGCGAGGGGTGACGCGATGAGGATTCACCACGGTAGTCAGCGTGGGGGTCACTGACTCATGAAGCGGCTTCGGCGTCGAGTTCTCGGAGCAAGCCGGCGAGCACGGCAGAGTAGGTGAAGACGAATTGCCGAGTGGTCTGCACCGAGCTCATCCGTTGCTCTCGAACCACGCCAACAGCGCTTTGGATGAGATCCGTCTCGCCGATCGCGGCGTCTGAGGTTTGAGAATCTGTTGTGGCAATGGAGTCTTGACTGGCGGAATCAGGTAAGACGAACGAGTTTGACTTGGGCGAAGTTGAAGCTGCCTCTACATTCGAGTGTCGGACTGATTGCGTGGAGAAAGGGTTGGGACTTGAACTTGCTTCGTTGAACGGATCGTTGGAGTGTGATTGTGAGGCGGATGCTTGCGCGGCGGACCGAAGCAAGTTATTGGGGCCAGGGGAAGCCGAGGACGATGAATCTACAGCAATGTGAAGGCTGCGCATAGCTCTGGAAGGCGTGTCCATGCCACTTTGGGCTTCGCTCGGTCTCCTTGAAGCGTCCGGTGTCATGGCAAGGAAACTGGCTCCTGCAGCGCTGCCTGCAGAGGAGCTGCTGCTGCTGCTGCTGCTGGGACCGCCAGAGCTGCTCAGGCCCGATATGGAATGAGCTTCGCTCTCCACGCTGTCGGCGTCCGAGCGAGATCGGCGCATGGGTGGCGGGCTCGAAAGATCACTTCGACGTTCGCCGTTGGAAGTGACCGATTCCGCAGCCTGATCAACGTCCATGTCTGAGGGTGAAAGCTCCCGCTTGAGTGATTTGCGCGGCACACGTTTCGAGGAAAAGTAGTCGCCATCGCGGCCGACGATGTTTCCATACGTGCTTCCACTGGAAGACGAGCTGTTGGTGTGCAGGCCAGTAGAGCCAGCATCAGCGCGATTTTGCCACGCTGGCAGAGGCGCCTTGCCTGCTGCTTCAGGGCGCCTCCGACGCAGCACATCGAGCACCGAATCTATGACAATATAAGTCCCTGTTCTGCCAACTCCAGCAGAACAGTGTACGAGAAGGGGACCAACGTTATCCTGCATATTTTGAGCAGACGCGGCGAGCTCCATGAAGATCAACAGACCAGTCGGCGACTCGGGAATGTGGTAGTCGGGCCAAGCCACGTATTGCAGATGTGTGAGGACCCGCTTTTCACTACGACCGTGGTGATGGAGCTCAAGGATCCTTCGGATGATGTGCACCTTTTCGGCGTCCTCTTGCGCCGAGTGCATGGAAGGAAACAGGTTTCCGCCCTTCTTGTCGTCTTCTGTCTTGCAGTCGTTAGTGCTGGCAGGCGGCCCAAGCGATTTGCCTTTCTCATCGAGAGCTTCCTCAAACACCAAGCGAACCTCGAGCTGCGAGCCGTAATGCTGGCTGCCCCAGTACATATGACTCTGTACCCTGCCCGCCTCGTGCTCCCGAGTGAGCATCGCAATGACATGAACATTTTGTTCCCACAGAGCCAGCCAAAAGGTTTCAAAGGTGCTGGGCAGTGGTGCTTGAGTGGCAATGTATCGTCTCCTACTCCCGAAACGATTTAGAGGTTCAACGAAGCTGGCGTTGAGATAGTCGGTGCACCCCGCTGGAGGCTCGCTTACGCGCACACGACTGTGCTCGTAGGTCCAGATATTGTTGTACCTGTTTTCAGCGCCTCTCTCGAGAGCGGCTGCAATGCTGAAGGGAAAGTAATGAGGAGTGGCTCCAGAAACAGCACTATGTCGTGAGGCCAGCCTTTGAGCGGCAGGCAGATCTTTCGGTTGCTGACCTGACGGCCCCACAGAATCTGCCCCAGAGTGCGAATCGTCGGCACTGCGTGGATCCACTGAGCTTTCAGCAGCGTGCTTCCGCATGGTCTGCATAAGTCGCTGCTGCTCATCCCGCTCCACGTTGAAGAAGTCCTCAGCCAACTTTTGTTCTCTCGTTTTGGGGTCGAGGTCTGCCAGGTGTTGCAAGAACGGCGGCAGTGCGTCTCGCTGAGCCGAAGAAAGACGTGGGATATCCAACGGCACAGTCTCAGTGACACCATGAGCCAGTTCCCGATTCTGCCGTATGTTGTCGAAGAACGGATTGGCAGACTACGAGGCCAAAATGCAAATTCGTGTCAGCTAAGCCCTATGGCAGCCGCGTTCAACGTATGCTCGACTTACAGCCTGAGGTTGCCGTTGTCCTTGATTCACGCCGAGCTGAGCCGGTTGCGAATGCGAAGCTTCAATGCCCCTCATCCTCCTTTGACCAGCCTCGTTGTTCCAAGATCCAGCAAGACTCCGAGTGGTGAAGGCTTCGGCAGGCAACCCTCGAGGCTGCACCAGCGAGTGTCGCTGCTCGTCACCATAATCAGGACTGCGCTGAGCGTTGCTGCTGTCGCTGGGGAGACGAGGCACGGAAGAGCGTCGTGTCCGTTCAGCGTCGGGGGGAATCAGACCCTCCAGGCGCGGAGGGGCTTTCTTGACAGGTGTCGCTGACTCAGCTCGAAGAGGTCGATTCTCCAATAGAGCTCGGTGGTCCTCCTGCTTGCTCTGCCCGACGGTATGGGCAAAGCCAGTGAAGCCACCGACTAGCCAGCATAAATCTCCTTGGAATCCTGCTGCATCGAACTTGCGTAGAAGACCAGTCAAGCATGCACCGCCGCCACCGGTATTAGGCCGACCAGCTTCTCCTAGACTGCGAGTGTCCGTATCAACAACCACGATGCGCCGCAGCGGTCGATCTGGCTCCTCAATATCATCGTCGCTCACGCTTCCATGATTGATCGCTTCGGGCGAAGACTTGCGAACACCCTTCCGCCACCGCTTGAAACGCTTGGCGTCCTGAGAGGAACCGAGCATTTCCGACTCGATGCGGTCCACTGTCATGGCCGGTCTTTTGAGCAGCGTGGAAGGAGCACAGACGTTCACACTTCGAGCTATCCTCGCCGAGTTGAAAGACGTTGAAGGCCGAATGTCAAGAATGAGCGTAGATGTAGAACCGTCGTCGCCATCGGTGGTGGAAGACGCGGACGACGCGCCACCCGGAGAGCTGCTCCGCGAACTCCGCCGCAGACGAGCTTTGCTCGTGGGATTTGACTCTCTCGGCGAGCGCTCGACGTCGACTTCGCCAGCGCCTCCGTTGAGGAGCTCTACCAAAGTCGAAGCATCTAAAGCCGTAAATCGCGTCAAGTCCGCTGCAGGAATGGAGGAAGCTGCAGAGGCAGCTGTCCGCGCTGAAGAGGCCGAGGCTCCAGATAACTTGCCAGTCCTGCGCTCGCCGCTGGCACCGATTGCTCCGGAGATGGGACCTGACGCAGCAGGTGAGTTGAGGGGCGCTGCGGAGGGAAAGCGCAGAGTCGGAGTCGTTCCACCGTCTGTGGCGCCGCTGGAAGACGATGCTCCCAGCTCGTCTGCACGAGGGGTCTTCTGTGTTTTCATATTCGTTGGCTGCTCGAAGAAGCCGACAGAGGATGATGCTGGGGGCACCACCAAGGGAGTTACGCCACCCGGCGTCTGTGGGACATGACTTGGCAAGAAAGATGCCCAAGGGTGCGACGGCCTGGCTGCGCCAGCAGGCGTGGGTGGCACCAAACCTGACTGCTCATTCGCAGTGGCGCTTGCCGGCACTGCTGTCGCTGACATTGCGAAGTAATCCGGAGCTGTGTCTGGCCCTCTGTCAGACTGCCTCCGATCGGCGGAGACTGCCTGATTCGCAGAAGCGAAGAAAGGTCTCTGCTCTTGTCCTCGAGGCAGCTGACTCTTGAGCGTGGGGATAGACGTGCTCGTTGATGCGCTGGGTATCCTGCCGCTTTCTGGTCGAGGGGCCCGCGCTGCTAATCTTTCGGACAGGTGCTCCTCTTCTCCACTCGCAGACCCTTGTCTTGTCATTGCCGACTGCGATTGAGATTGCGCGCCAATTGCGTCTGCCGAGAGCTGTCCCGCAAACGGCGAGGAAATGCCAGACGGCGACGACGCATGGTGAGAGGAACTACTCATGGGCAGAGACAGTGCCTTGGGCGCTTCCGATCTTGGTTTGAGAGGTCCCATTCTGGTTGGAAGGTCTTCCCCTCGGCGGCGTCTAGCTACGAGCGGACGAGAAAAGTGGTTCTCTTGTGGTCGCGGGTTTGGGGCCTCAAATGAGGTGGTATGGCAAGCCGTATTGCGCTCAGCAGCACTGGAAAGCTTGCTGGTTTCGAGAGTGCTGGTCTGGAGTGATTGAGTCAATGCAGCCAAGACAGGATGAAGGCACGCATGTCGGGTCAGAAAGGGAAGCGAGGTCGATGGGTGCGTAGTATGGCTGTGCTGAGCCCAGCAAGCCAGAGCGACGTGCGCAGCTTCGGATGTGGCGCTTGACGCTGTGACCAAATCTGTTGTGTTCGGAGCTCGCTAATCAAGAATAGAATCCCAGTGTCAAGCGCGGGCCTAAAAGATGTAAAGTAGTAAAAGCGTAGGCAATCACAAGGGCGAAATCCAGCCTCCCATTGGGCGGGGTTGAGTGCGCTGCGTGTGGAGGGATGTTGCCACCCAGCCTGACATCAGCTTGGGGAGGGTTGTGCAATTGGTAGCGTTATTCGATGTGTTTAGAGTTCTTGAGTAGTCAAGTGGAGATGAGCTAGTCACAAGGTGCAGAGTTTGTTCTGCGAACCAGAGTGGAGCCGCGCACGACAAGGTGCAGCTGATCCACGCCCAGGCTGCCAGGGCCTTCTTAGTCACCAGTCCAAGGTCGTCGAGCTTCATACAAGATCGTTCTCGTCATCACTCTCAGACTTCGTCGGGCGTGAGCTCGCTACGTACGCGCGCAAGCAGCCTGTTGATGACTGACTGCATTTGATGGGATCTTGGTTGACGCGAGTGGCGCCGCCATCACCTACCCTCACGCTCAACTCGATCCCGACTGCTGTACTGCATCAAGTCTCTCGTTGATTGCATAGGCGCGGTACGCAAGTATAATAATGAATGCTGCATAATGCATGCATCATGCCGACACGCGCAGCTGACGTGCCTGCTTTGCGCTGCCTCGCGTGCTGGCCCTGCGCGATGACTCACAACTGAACTCACTCATGCATGCCTGCGCACACACTCACGACTCATATATGGCTCGAGCGTGACTGCAGGCTGTTGATCGGGGTCTCGAAGTCTTGAGTCCAGATCGCGACCTCGAATCTTATGCACGAAGCTTCAAACGAAAA